GAACCAGAATAAGGTGGCAGACGGACGCTACGAGGGGGGGGGGGGGAAGAGAGGGCCTTTCTCCCCCCAAGCGAGATATGTAGACGCTAAGGGCTGCCGGAGTTGGTGCCAAAATGCGCATTTGGGAGGCGACTGTCTGGATTGCGCCTGCTGTCTCCTCCAGCAGGAGAGCCACTGGAAGTGTTTAACCAGTTCTGCACCCGGCCGACTGTTTGGATCCGCCCGCGTAACCGGATCATCTCCCTATGAGTTGTAGGTACCGCCCCAACTCACCGTTCGAGAACGGTCTCTTTTTTGGGTAGGGCACCTCAATCGCACGCTGGTAGCGTTCACCCCGGTGGCAGCAAGCCATTAGGTACTAAAGTAGCGGACAGGTTTTGTGACGAGACATCCGGCAAAATATTCACTCCACACCCAGTGCTCGGTTTTCTGCCCTAGCCAGCACATCTTTAGGCCTCTGTTTTGATCTCTTGTTGTAATTGCACTTCCTGCCTCATCCCTGTCTCGGTGCTTCCTGTTTTCTTGCAGAAATACTCCCCAAGTTATCGTAAAATGACATCAGACGAGTGGCTCCACGGTCGTCTACTGATCCTGAATGAACTCCTAGTCTCAGCCAATCCCGAGTTTGAGAAAGTACGCAGTTCTCTTGACACCATGCTGGGACAGGTAAGCTGCACGCCCTTCAGAAGCAAAGAAAGTTGCATGCACGTACAGGGACTTTTTTCTAAGGGGGGAAGTTTTTTTTTCACCCCCTCTAGGCAATGTTCCACGTTCTGATAGCCAATCAGACAGAAGGCGAGACTGCCGTGCAGACAGTCCACCTCACTCAGTGGGCTGTTGTCTCTGCGCCGACTGCGGCTGCCTCTGCCGCGGTTGCTGCCGTCGTTTCCTCCGGCTTGCCGCGCTCTGCCCTCTCCTCAACGACCGCCCGGCCTGCCGCCGGCGAGGTGTTCGGCGACGAGGGCATTGCCAGCGAGTTGTTTCGTCAACAGCAGTTGCGCCAACAGCGCGCTGTTCCTGTGGCCTCGGCCGCCTGTCGTCGTGTCCTCGCGGACAACATGGAACAGGTGCGTGCTTTTTTTATTTCCCGCCCTCATTTTCGCCTTTGTTCCTTCCTGCTGTGACCCTAAAAGCATGCCCGCCTTTTTTGCTGTCCAGGTCTGGCCTCTTGTGCTGAGTGCATTACATTCCAAGGTGCCCTGTGTCCTTCACCTCATCTTGAAAGTCCTTCCTCGTCTGGTCGCGTTTGAAGGGACGCAAACGCCACACAAGGAGTATGTTTCCCGTTTTTTGCAGGAAGACGGGTTTAACTAGTGAGACGAATTCCGTCGACCCCAGGGTCTTGTGGGCAATAGGCAATGCCTTTGAAAGCTCAATTTTCCACATGCCAGCGGGCAAAAAATCAAGTAATGTAATAAACACACTACTGAAATAAATTAGATAGTATAATTACGGTAATTAACATTGTCGATCGATAGGCAGTTATTCCCTGACAAGTGCTCCTAGGCAAAACTTCCATCAGGCAGTTAGTGTAAATCGGTGGACATAACTCTCGCGTGATTCGCCAAAGTCGCTCCCTGCCTTCGAGTTAAGGGTTCTGAAGCAGCCCATGATAATTTATTTTGGAAGTCGACTGCTTAATTAATATGCGCATTTTTAAATGCCTATTTGACACGGAATATGGTTCCCACTGTCTCCATTTTCCCCGCTCTGGGGTTAGGCACGGCATATGCCTCCCCCCTGTTACAGATGATCTTGGAGGGAATAGGAACCTCCCTGGAATTTAGTATAGGGTCACCTGTAGACTAGAGAGGCGATGGGGTCCATGTTCCTGTGTCCAGCCTTCACGTTTTTCTCGAGTGACATTGGAAAAAAGTTTAGTTTTGACAGCGTTTACCAACAACTCCCATCTTATAAAAATTGTTTAACTGGACACTTCATTCTCTCGAGAGTTCTAAGTATATTGCTTGAGCGTTTCGGCACTAGACGAAGCCGTTTCATTCTGATCTAATTGCTCTGTAGTCGCCTCTTTTTATCAGGCACGATTTCCGTCGAATGTTAGGCTTTCGCTTATTAATTTTCCTTAATCCATTGTCCGTTATCGCGCACTTATCATCTCACTTTTAATGGACTTAGCCCTCAGTCCAGAACTCTCCTAGTGATTTACCCTGATTTAAGCAGCTAGTTAACGATCATTTTAAGAGAATTTGCAGGTGAATACGGTACATACTTCTAATTATTGTGGAGATGTGTGTTCTTCAGTCTTATTCAGACTCTCATGAATTTCCTGTTCGACTGCGTCAACCGGGACCGAGAGAAGGCGTACGCATTGGTGACTCTGGGTCTAATGGCGCAGTCGCTGGGTGCAGAGTTTGAGACCGGTGGCTACATGACCCGGCTGTTTGAAATCCTTTCCTCCCTCATTTCTCCCTCGAAGGAGACTGCTTCCAAGTAAGCCACATAGTGATCCCTTGCGTAAATACCTCTTTTTTCCAATTCCTTCGTCCTCCGGCCATAGATTCTTGAAGGTTTCGCGCGGATACTAGACCATGTCTTTGAATAGCCCAGTTTTTACACGCTAATGGGTGGCCCCAAACGTTGGATGATTTAAAAGTTACACAAACGTGTTATTGTAATGAATTCAGTAGCATATTTGCGGTAACGAATTTGTCGACCCGTAGGCCATTGCTCCTTGGCAGATTAGCGATACAAGTGGGTAATAAGAGGGGGTTCACACAACCTTCCAGTCATGATAAACTAGAACAATACTCTTCGTTGTCGAATACGTTTGCAAAAACACTTATTTAAACGTCGAGAAGGGTTTGTGGAAAAGAAATAGTTGTAGCAAGTCGTAGCAGTCATTTGCTTGAATAATGTTGAGCAGGAGTTCATCCAGGTAGGCTGGGTTGCTTATTTTTGACTTTTTTTGCTGTCGTCAGCCAGCTGTACTCCAATCCCAGTACAGCATAGCTTGAAATTTCAATCCGGTGTCAGTGACTTTTAAGTCAAACCGTCTAAATCTGAGATTTGTGCATATAGTTTATCAACTGTCACGTTGAGCTTTCAAGATGACGGTGAAGCAGCATCCATCCGCCTTATCATCACCGATAAGCTCCTTTCTCATATTGATTATTGGTCACTTTGCGACCGCTCGTGATGGTTTGACTCTGAATCTGGAGTGCTCATAACTCCCTCCTGGAGTCGGGCCTGCTTGTTACACTCTACTCCCATGGGTTTTTGGCTTCTTCCTAACGCAGTTAATATTGTCTTTGAACCTTAAACCGACTGATTTTGGGGTCATATGACATCCTTTCCCGGCCTGACTACTACAGTTCGGTAGTCAGGGCCAACAATCTAAGGCAATGTTTTCCCGTACTAACAACACACAGTATCATATCAAACTTCGGACCGTGTCTGAAAAGGTCTGTTTCGAAAGAGTTACTCCAAGTTCGCGCATTAGTTTCCTCGGAAGTTAAACAAGGCAAATCTAAGGCCCCGTCACCTGAATCCACCGAGCATGCTCACTGCCCAGTCCAGTGTATTTGAGGGAAATAGACTTTTGCCTTTGAACTTCCTACGCGACACAGAGATCGACGAAATTAGCAAAGATGCCAAGAGTGTGCAAGTGAATTTAGATTTAGATTCACATAGTTCATTGCTTTTTATGGTTACATAGTCACATAGTCCGCCCTTTGCCGGAGCGTGTCTGTCGAACGGATGTTTGAATTTCTCCGCAGACTGAGACATTGCAATCGTCTCCACGGTTTCACGACACGGTTTGGGGGAGAAACACTTTTTCACATCCATTCTTCCTTGGGGCACAGATGGTTTGGACAGATGCCCCCGGAGGTTAGTTGTAGTGACTAGTTGGAAAAAAGGTCATGACAGGATCTGGTCTTGCAGCCGAACCTGATGCAGATTATACTGATGAACTACTGAATTATTTTGAGTAGGCGAGATTATGCCGAAATGACATACTTGCACCTTGCTGAAACGGAAAAAGGCAGCCTCGTGTTCGAGTCTAGAGGCAAGGTGGGTCTTAGGGTTAGGGTTAGTGTGAGGTTAAGAATTTAGTCCACGCTTGGGGTTTGCGTTAAGTTCAATCGTTCCGGTTAGAGTTAGGGTTTGGATTGAGGTTTAGGTTTAGTGTTAGGGCTGGGGCTACGATTAAGGTCAGGGCTACGGTTACGGTTTGGGTTAAAGTGAGGACAACGATTAGGATTAGGGTTAGGATTATTTTTGGGGTTAGGTTTAGGGTTTGGGGTTGGGGTTAGGGCGCCATCTAAGCCACGCACGATACGAGAAGTCTCTGCGCAGCTGCCTATAACTCAGCCGCCAGATATTAAGGATATTTAAGCGGATCTCGTATGACAGCGCACCTTGACCACTTGCTACTTTTGTTGTTCGCCACTGTACTCTTTCGAGTAGATTGTACTCCTGATGCGTCCAGGGTCTCCAGGCCCGGATCGCCTGTTACCTGGAGGCACTATGATCATACCCTCGGATAAACAACG